ATTCGCTTGAGGTAGCTGATGGCGAGGGCGGGGAAGGCGGCAATGTTGATGACGCCGCTGAGGAACTTCCAGGTGCCCATCATGGAGCCGAAGAAGGGCCCGAAGGCGCTGTCGGCCCAAGTCACGTACCCGCCGTTTCCGGGGAAGGCGGTGGAGAGCTCCGCGGTGATTAGTGCTTCCGGAATGCTCCATATAAAGGGGAATATGAGGAAGCCAAGGATTGCAAAGAGGGGTCCGGCGGCCTGGACGGCGGGCTCCTCGCCGTAGGGACCTCCGGCGACCTCGAAGTAGATGAGGAATATGAGGGGGATTAACGTCAGCTTCTTGGCAGAGGTAGTTTTGGCGGCGGTGGTGGTGGGGAGCTCGGCGGTTTGTGGAGGTTGCTCAATAGGAGGAGGATTTGTTGGTGTTGTTAGTAGGGTTCCCATTGGATCGGATGATTATTATTATTTTGATTTTGATTGGATGATAGCGTTTATATATATATTTGAAGTTTTGAAGGATGTTTGGTGAGAGAGAAACTATTGTGGTACAAAGAGTATGATTCGATAATTTCTATCAGGAGTTCCGCCGCCATTCAGAAAACCCAAATAGTTTAATTTTTTTTTTTTTACAGCCAAATAGTTTAATTTTTAATTTAGTACTCACGCATTTAACTATGATCTAATTTTTTATAAAACATACAAATTAGGGGTGTTCACGGTCTGGTTTTAACTGAAAAAAACCGCCAATTCGGACCGATGATCGATTAAATGGTCAGTTCAAAAGGCCTTAAACAATTCGGTGGTTAATTTTTTTAAAAATCCGAAATAACTGGTCCGGTTAACGGATTACCTGCGGCAAATCGTCGCTTTAACCGGACCGGATTGGTAAATATTAAAAAACTATAGCAAATATATATATTCAAACAAGAAAGTCACGAAATGTGTATTTTTATGCTTATGGGACGAATTGTGTATCTTTTTATTTCATTATTGTTGTTTTTCTTAATTTTTAGGCCCAAATAATCTCTTTTGGACCCGAAATTGAAAAATAAAAATTAAGCCAAATGAAAAAAATAAAAATTGAATGCCCAAAATAAGGATTTTAGTTTTAACCGATTAACCGCCAAACCAGACCGTCCAATGCGGTCCGGATTGTGGTCGGTTAAAAAATAAAATTGCTCCGGTTATGAACAAGAAAAAAAAATTAACCGTTAGGTCCGGTTTGGTCATGGTTTGGGCTAAAATCGGACCAATTTGGACCGAGAACACACGTAATACAAATATGTTTAAAGTCCCCATTTTTATAATACTGAAAATTGAACACTTACAACTAAATGAAAATAAACTCACAGAGTATACGAGATATTATTCTAAGAATTCACTATTTGTGTAACAATCAATCGAACTCTCTAAAAAACTTACCGTTAAGACACTGAGTGTCGTACATACAAATGCTTTGTAAATATTGATTTGGAATCGTTAGACAAACATAATGACATGATTAATATAATGAAATGAAATTTTGAAATGAGTTGAAGTGAATGATTATGAGAAACAAATAAATTGCCACGTGCGATTATGCAGGGCGGGACTCACTCCTAATGATCACCTTCAACAGTACCATGGACATGCGCCCTGTCAGCATTTAATGCATTCAGAGGTCAGCCTTCGTAGGATGTAGGTCGGCGCATGTAGTTGGGAAACCGAGTACTTTACATGGAACTTCGCTCAATGCCGAGCTGATTAACTTTATATGAAAATATCGAGTCGAATAGCCTAGTCACTGACCAACACTTGAGGTCGGATGGAGATCGTTTTTTATGCCACGTGCCGGACGATGGCGAAGTTGTCAATTCAGATGTCAACATACATCCATAATCTTCATTTTATTTTTATGAAAGAAAATAGCTAATTATTCCTTCCTTTTCTATGTCGATCAGTAAAAGGCAAAAATAAAACTAATTATGTCTTTTCATAATCTTAATTTTTATTTAACTAATAAAAAATTATTTTAATTGGATATTCTTGTAATTATGCAATGTGCAACATATGATATAGATTTGAACTATTTTATTATTAATACAAAAGTGGTTTTTACAACAATTTAAAACAAAATATATGAGATTAAAATGGTAAACCAGCGGATCACATTTCCAGTAGTATGCAACTAATTAACTTGAAAATAAAAATCATAATCCTTATAATACATACTTTTTAGGGTAGAAATATTGTAAAATATTAATAGAGCATATGAGTTAGAATCTTGAAACATGAGTCAACTATCAAATTAGGTCTGAAAGATAATTTCTAGCCATTTGAGATCTAAAAGATAAGAAACTAATGTCCTTGAAAAGTTAAATTTATTGATTAAAGGCTCGAAATATTTTAAAATATAAAATTAAAAATTTGAATATAATTGTACAAAATATAAATGAAAAAAAACCCATAAATAAACACTTAAAACATGTCATATCAATTATAAAAATATATGTATAATAATATGAGAAAATTTTGTATGCTATATCAATTATATAAAATATATAACTTATAAATAAAAAAATATTCTGCATTTATATATTTCAACTGATAATTTTAAATTATTAGGATTCGATATTGATTGATTTTATCTTTTAAGCGTCGAATTAGCAATAGGCCCATCTTGCGCGTCTCAAACTAATATAAACTCAAGTATAAATTAATATTTTCAGATCTACTAGTGTGTATCCCGTGCGCTGTATGGAGGGGTTTTTACTTAAAACCTTTTCTAAGACTTTATATTAAACATAGTTATTTATGTTTAACATCTTATTATTATAAAAAAAGAAATACCAAATATGAAAAATTATATATTATTTATTTGAATATAATGAGTGTCCCCAACCAAACTAATAACATCCAACATATGATATATGATAAAATTAATTATATGATCGTCATACTTTTTGAAAAAATATACATATATTTCTAATAAACATGTAAGATCCGCATTTAAATTTGTATTTAGATATGGGATGAAAAATGAATATGTACAAATAAAAAAGTACCAAGAACCTACATAAAATGAGATTCTTTATAAACTTTAAAATATTTTGTAGTTAAGCAAATATTAACAAACAAAATCATCAATTAAGTTGAACTTATCGAATATAAAATATAATTTATGATATCATTGACCATATTTACCCGTTGTATTTAAAGTTATCATTGACCATATTTTTATGAATTAAGGTTTACAAAATATCTTTTTCAAAATAACAATTTTTTTTAATTTGAATTTGACTTTTTCATCCAACCGCCATTTTCCACAAAAATAAAAATAGTATTTTGGAAAATTTTAGACGTGAAAATCAAATAAAATTAATTTAATAGTAATCGATTAATTTAGTATTATTCAAAATTGTTTAATTCGGTCAACCCGATCTTAGTGCACGTTTAATTGAAACAATCGCTTACCAAAAAAAAGGTAATCGCTTACCAAAAAAGGAAGTGAAATCTATCTATATAATATAAATCGGATTTGAAAAAAATAAAGGAAATGAAATTTCATAATTAGTTAATTTAAATTGATGTTATCCGATTTATATCAACTCCCTTCCAAAAAAAAAAGAAAATATCCGATTCCTACCAAATCGATTCAAATAAAAAAAGAATTATGATATACGTCCAAATAAATTACAATTGAAATGTAGGCGGGATTATGAAAAAAAAAATAAAAAAACTTTACCGAATAAAGTAATAAAACGAAAAAAAAAGCGGGAATATGAAGCGGGAAAATAAGATAATTTTTTTTGAGTTTTTTGAACAATTTTTCTTAGTCGTAATAATAGTAATAGATTTCCAAAATGTTACCACACATTTTTTTCTATTTTTCTTGTTTTTATTAAATTTTATTTACATAAGATATACATTGGTTAATTTTAAATTGAATCTAAAAGTCAACTCCTCACACTTTTCGAAAAATGTTACCACACAAATTTTTTTTTCTTATTATGTTTTATTTACATAAGATATACATTAGTGGTTAATTTCAAATTAAATCTAAAATTCAACTCCTCACATTCTTGAATTTGAATTTTTAAATAAGGAAATGTGTTTCCATATTTTTTGGTAGTTAGAATATGTTGGATTCATTTATCTATAACTAATCATACACGTATTTAAAATTTGAACCCAAACAAAATTCTTTGAATTTTTTGCTAACAAAATCACCTTCCCATAATTTATTTATTTAGAAAAATGTTACCACACAATCTTTTTAATTTTGTTTTTCTATTAAATTTTATTTACATAAAATATACATTTGTTAATATTAAATTGAATTTAAAATTCAACTCATCACAAATTTGTATATATATATATATACAGAGAGAGAGAGAGAGAGGGGATTCTCTTTTTTTTTACATATTTAAAAAAAATCTAATCAAATTTTGAATCCCGAATTAAAATCGAATTGTAATGTGAACTGAAAAGATTTGAAATCTAATCATGTTGTAGATAAGGGAAATCCATGGCAAAAAAAGGAAATGAAAAAATTCAAATTAAATTTAAGGGGGAAAAACAGTTTTTTAAGCAGGAATTTGAAATATTTTTTCAAACATTTTTTCTTCTCCGTATTATATAGTAATAGATTGGCTCGTTGATATATAAAATCCCAGCCAAATAAATCTGCACTAATAATTGATAAATAAAATAAATGAATAAATTAATAATTACATAGTATAAAATTATTTTTTATATTAAAGATCCGTTCTTCGCGAGTTTATGTTAATCTGCTACCCTCACTGGCCGGTTCACATCACATTTCTGTAATATTTCCTCACTGACTGCAGACCATTTAGACTAACTAATGACAGTGGGTCGGAGAGGTGTAGCAAAATATAATTTTTTCATGTGTAGAATTATTGGCTATATAGCCTGTAATGTCATTGTGGGTCACGAGGGTCGGCCATTAACTTAATGCTCCAATAATGCACCATCTGCTTCACATTTCATCCAAAGTCTTGTTCTTCTTTTTCTTATTGTGGAATGCTTTGATATGCGCGGATGGGCTACAATCTCTCAAGAAATTAATTCCAAAGGGATTTTGTTAAAAATCCTTCGATGTTGGAGTGAGGACAAGTTCGGCCAAACGAGCGAACATGAATTAGGAGACGCAGTGTATAAAAGGTTATTCGGCCGACGGTATCTGATTGTAATGGATGACATTTGGAATACGGACGCATGGGACAGAGTGATACACTTCTTTCCGTATAACAACCATGGGAGCAGAGTATTGATAACCACTAGGCTATCGAAAGTGGCTCTGCAACTGGATGGCTCCAATGACGGATCCAGGATTCTCCCATAATTGGGGCACCAATGGCTGAAGTCTCCGCCACCAATGTCGGCTCTTCCCGGCTGAAGTCTCAGCCTATATAAATTTACAAAACATGGCAAAATTTAATTGGGGGCTTGTGACCCCATTAAACATGGCTGGATCCGCCATTGAATGACCCGGATTACTTTCAGATGAGTTTACTGAATCAAAACGAAAGTTGGAATCTACTGCGCGGGTGCGTGTTTGGGGAACTAAGGTGCCCTCCGGAACTGGAAGAGATTGGGAAGGACAATGCCGGAAAATGCAAAGGCCTTCCATTGTCGATTGTCGTGATCGGGGGACTCCTAGCAAAGTCTGAACAAACACGATAAAATTGGCATTGCATTGTCGAAAATTTAAGCTCGATCATGAATTTAGAGAAGGATGGAAGACTGTGATAATTATTGTCTAGGAAATCTCTGCCGACTACATAAGCTGGAGGAATTTGCATGCATTATTGATTGGAATTGGAAGAAAAGTGAGGTGGCAAGGGACTTGATGATCACGTTCCTGATTTCGCTCAGGAAGCTGATTCTGAAAGGCACGTGTCTGGGGTGGGAGGAGATGGGGACAAAGATAGGGTCCGTATCTTGAGGCCTTTTGGCTAGGCTATAATGCGGTTGTGGGGCCTGAGTGGGAAACAGTCGATGGCGGATTCCCGAGTTTGAAATACTTGGAAATCAATTGGAACTCTGATCTTGAAGAGTGGAGGACGGAGGCCACGCACTTCCCGTGCCTCGAGCAACTCAGACTGCTGAAACTACTAAAGCTGGTGGAGATTCCATTAGGAATTGGGGATATACCCACGCTTAAGGAGATCAATATGGTGTTTTCACTACAAAAAGATTGTTATATTCCAACGGAGAATCCTATGGAAATATATTCCAATGGAAATTTTAACGAATATTCTAATGGTATAGCTTCTGTTGGAATGATTCTAACGGAATTTCCAACGAAAATATGCCGTTGGAATGTATTTTTCATTGGAATTTTAGATGGAATTTGATGATTTCAACGCCTATATTTCCTACGGCTTTTAACCGTAAGAATTTCCGTTGGAATATGCAATTTCCGTAATTTTTATTTCCACCACCGTTAGAAAATCTACCGTTGGAATCATCAAAATCCAACAGAAATTCCAATGGAAAACTTATTCCAACGGAATATTTTTGTTGGAATTTCCGTTGGAATAATTACAACGGAAATAATACCATTGAAATACTCATTGAAATTGTCGTTGGAATTCTTTTGATATATATGTCCGTTGGAATTTCATCATTTTCTTGTAGTGTTTGTCCAGACTCCGTGGTGCTTTCTGCAAAGAAGATATTAGAGGAACAAGAGAAATGTCATGGGGAGGTGGGGCTTCAGATTACAATTTTCTAATTAATATGGTTTTGTGGATTTTGGGTAGAATAATAAAACGGCATAAGTAAGCTGTGTTGGTGCTTGAGAATGCCTTTAACGGGTTATTGTCTGCGTTAGTTAGCTATTGAGTTTTTTATATGTGAAGGGAATATTTGTTGTTGTAAGAGGGGTTTATGGGACGTATTGTTCGTATGTCTCTCGTCATGTATATGAAAGATGAAATGCGCAATTGAATGTGATGTGAATTTATTTGGGGAAGTTTTGGTTATATTTTAATTAGTTTTATTTTTGGTTTAATTGCTAAAGCCATTTTGTCCACCTATTGCCAAACAATTATTTACAAAACGCTAACAGTGTTACAATCCAATCGAACCAGCCAAGTTTGACATTTCGAGCTCGTGTTCGTATACGTTATTTTCGAGTAATAAATCGTGCTCGAGCTCGTTCGTTTAATTGTTCGTCAAAGTTCGAGCTCGTCCGTGTTCGAATAATTTAGGACACAAACCTTTTTAATTTGTTTGATTAACTCAAAATTTATTCGTTCGAGCTTGAAGATAAAAAGTTCAATAAAAATATTTTTATATTTTAGATTTTTCATTAACAATATTATGTAAATATACAAAAAATAAAATAAAATTATAATAAGTTAATGTTCGCTAACATTATCGAACGTTCGCGTACAAGCTCATGTTCATTCAATTATTAAATGAGCTTAATTTTTTATTCGAACTCAGCTCGATTAACAAACGAGCTAGAACTCTTGTCGAATACGGACGATCTCGAACGAGCTTTTGTTCGTGAATGTTCGATTCACTAGCTAACAGCCTTATCCACTAACACAATCAACTATTCACTATCAACTAATAGTTAAACAAGGTCGACATAAAATTTTCATAATGGCATTATAAATTCTACTTATCAAACAACTAGAGTCGCTATCAATATTTTGTAGCGAAAGCGAAAACTTGCTCGTATATTTAATCCGGTGGCTACTAGAGTCGCTTATATTCTCCACGCCTTTTGATGGTTTCGGCTCAACAAAAAAAAATGTACTAAATAAAGAAAATTGTATTTGTTGATCACTCTTTGTGATTTCTTGTGTTTAGAATGCACAAAGCATTCAATATTTATATTGTCTTCCAATGAGACAACCTCAATGAAGAATTAACTCTCATTAAACATGTCTTTAAGTGGATGTTATGAATTCATGAAACTTAACATCAATTAAAAACAATACAGTGAAGGGATTAACCTTTTATAGCAGAAGCGAAGATTTTTTTGTATCTTTAATTCGGTAGCTACTAAAGTCGCCGCTATCCTCCACGCTTTAAAACTTGAGCTGCCTTTCGATGGTTTTGGCTGAAAAAAAAAAATGCATTAAATAAGGAAAATTGTATTTGTTTTTCACTCTTTGATTTCTAGTGTTTAGAATTAATGCTGTTAAATTAAACGAGCCTGGGTCGGATCGGCTCGAGTTCGAGGCCTTAACGAGCCAAGCTCGAGCTCATTTAAACCTTGATTGGTTAACGAGCTGAGCTCGACTCGGCTCAATAATGTTCGAAAAGAGAGTTTTTATATAATTTTTTATAATTCAGCTCGTTAAAGCTTGAGATCGGCTCGAGCTCGAGGCTTTAACGAACCGAGTTCGAGCTCAATTTGTGGCTCGTTTATTTAACAAGCCGAGCTCGGCTCGAGTCGTAAAGAGCTCGAGCTCGAGCACCTTAAGCTCGAACTCGACTCGTCTCGTTTACATCTCTATTTAGAATGCACAAAACATTCCACTATTTATAGTCTTCCAATTAGACAAATTCAAAAAATGCTTTAACTCTCATCTCCATAACATAACTAGTTAATGAAGATCGAACATGTCAACTGGATGTTAAAAATTGAGACACTTGGCATCAATTAAAACCAATCCAATGAAGAACCGGCCATAGAATTTTCCAAATAATAACGCAAACCACGTTAAATATCTTTCCCAACCCTTGCCGTACGACACCTTTTACAGGCAATGGCCTAACACATATATTTCCCGTACTAGACTTCAACGTTTTAACTATCGTGTGCAGTCTCTATATCTATCTAGATAACTCGTGCGTGGTCCACAATCTCTACCATCATCAATAATATCAGCTAACTAACAGTAAATAATACACCAAGAGACATGAATCCTCACTAATTTCACATTCATAATTTTCCCCTCTCTCCATTTCATTTAGTAGTCAAGTCATGACCACCACACTCCCCGACGCCGCCTCCCCGTGGTGGGGCCCTCTCACGGCCGCCCTCGCCGCACTCTACACACTCTATCTTCTCCTCTCCAAGAAACCGGCCGGCAGGCCCCTCCCGGGCCCCCGCGGCCTCCCCCTCGTCGGCAACCTCCTCTCCCTCGACCCGGACCTCCACACGTACTTCGCGGGCCTCGCCCGGGCCCACGGCCCGATCTTCTCCCTAAGGCTCGGCTTCAAAACCGCCGTCGTGGTGACCTCCCCGTCCGCGGCCCGCGAGATGCTCAGAGACCACGACGCGGTGTTCGCCAACCGGGACGTGCCGGAGGCGGGCCGCGAGGCCACGTACGGCGGGCGCGACATCGTGTGGAGCCCGCACGGGCCCGAGTGGCGGATGCTGAGGAAAGTCAGCGTTCGGGAGATGCTCGGGAGCCGCGCGCTCGACTCGGTGTACGCACTCCGGCGGAGGGAGGTCCGGGGGACGGTCGGGTACTTGTACGGGCGGCGAGGTTTGCCGGTGGATGTTGGGGAGCAGATGTTTGTGACGGTGTTGAACGTGATCACGAGCATGGTGTGGGGGGAAACGGTGGTGGGGGAGGAGAGGGCCGGGCTTGGGGCGGAGTTCAAGGAGGTTGTGGGGGAGATTGTGGGGCTGCTGGGGATGCCGAATGTTTCGGATTTTTACCCGGGGTGGATCGGGAGGCTGGATGTTCAGGGGATAAGGAGGAGGATGAGGGCGGCGGTTAGGAGGATGGACCAGATTTTCGAGACGGTGGTCGAGCGGAGGCTGAGGGGCGGTGGTGAGGGGACTGGCAAGGATTTTCTGCAGTTTCTGCTGGAGATGAAGGATGGAGGAGATGTCGATTTTAGCATGACTCACCTTAAGGCTTTGCTCATGGTAATGATGTTCGGTTCCTTATGTTGCTTGAATTTTGTTTGGCTAAGTGTCATAAACGAGCTACGGTTATCATTTTCTGTTTTTTCGTGGAAGAATCCGAGCACGAAACAGAGATCAAATGATCGACAGAGTCTAAATGAAGTTGTTGTTTAAGGCCTTAACAAAGTGCAGATTTTTGTTTTGATGATCATGAACAATAACTTAATTGGATACTCTTTTTTAACCAACTGCTCTGTTTCTGCTTGCTTTTTTTCATCATTAAAGTTTCATATTGGTGTGAGGGTTTCATACGATTCGGAAACCAAGAAGTTTGGAAAAATCATGTTCAAATCCTTCAGTCCTCATGCAATGTATACTTGTAGATGAGTCAAAATAGCCCTTCTTTGCCAAACATATTTTGTACTCAGGTCTTCTCAAACACTTGTACTTAAGCTATAATAGAATGTGAAATGACATGGACATAGAACTTCTCCTTATATCCATAACCTCAAGCGATGTTTATTCTAGACAATGGCTAAAAGATATGTTAATTAACGTTAATGCCGTTAAAACAGGACATGGTAGTCGGGGGGACGGACTCAACATCCAACACGATGGAGTTTGCCCTGGCTGAGATGATGAACAATCCCGAAATCCTCGCGCGGGCCCAGCAAGAGCTCGACACAGTCATTGGCAAATACAACACTGTCGAGGAGTCCCACATCAGCAGCCTCCCTTACCTACATGCAGTGATGAAAGAAGCCCTCCGACTCCACCCAGCTGTCCCGCTCCTTGTCCCGCACTGCCCCAGCACCACATGCGAGGTCTCTGGCTACACAATCCCAAGTGGGGCCCGCGTTTTCTTCAACGTGTGGGCCATCCACAGGGACCCTTCGTTGTGGGACAACCCTTTGGACTTCTGTCCTGACCGGTTCTTGGACGGGACATGGGACTACAGTGGGAACGACTTTAGTTACTTCCCTTTTGGGTCTGGGCGGAGGATGTGTGTTGGGGTCGACATGGCCCAACGGATGTTCATGTTCTCGCTCGCGACTTTGGTTCACTCGTTCGACTGGAGATTGCCTCATGGGGAGAAGATGGACCTGTCCGAAAAGTTTGGGATTGTTCTCAAGAAAAAGGTGCCGTTGATTGCTATTCCGAATCCTAGGTTGTCTGATCCGGCGCTCTATGCGTGATTTTTATGCAGTGGCTATTTTTCTTTCGTGTTGATTCCTTAAGCCTTATTATGGTGTCAATCAATACATAATCGAACATTATGATGTCGTTTGGTTCGATTTTACTGTACGATTAAGAGTTAATGATTCTGTTTAACATTAATAAGAGGACTAATGTGCACTAAAATGACAAAAGCTATTCAAGTAGTGATGAATTAGTTTAATCATAATCAGAATGTAAATGAACAAGAGGGGAGCTAATCATCATACGCTACTCCATCAGTATCCATTCAAGAGAATATAGATAAGTTGCCTAGTTGGTGTTCTGAAATATATTCACCAATACCAGCAATCAAATCGATCACACGCAATCACACACGCACGTCCAGATTTCCGGGTAGTAATCTTTGACTGAAAAAGCTGGTACTTTCATGGGTACCTTGATGAGAACCGGCCTGCAGGGCCCACATTTTCGGTTCTCTCTACCGCAGACTGGTGGTTTTGAGCCGACTTTCATATCTGGTTTGCTGATGATTTTAGCTGCATTCTGCTTACGGATGCTCGTTGCTTTTTCGGGTAGTTTTTGACCAAACTTGTCGAGTCGATTTCCTTCAGCTTTTAAACTGAAGATGGCATGAGTACAAAAGCATAGTAGGTAAAGAAGAAAGAGAGGCTTCATTTCTGACTGATATCAAGAAGTGTGATTCTTGTGATTGGTTTTGCTTTTCAAAGTTTACAAAATTGAAGTCATGGTGCTATTGAACATTTATGGGGTTAATTATGGACCAGCTGATATAGCAAAAAATCTATGGGAGATTATTTGATTTTTATTATTTCAATCTACTATGATAAGTGAGTATAATGGAGCCAATTAAATGATTGGGGGCAGTTTGTTGGAATTTAATGAGGAACATCTGCAATAGAACTCATAATGAATCAAATTTTTGTGAAGAGTACTTGTAAGCCTTTAAGTTTCCTTCAAAAACATTCTCATGACCATAATTTTGTGCTGCAGCAGTTAGCACCATGAATTAAGTAATTATGAATCCTAAAATAATACCTAGAGAAATTACTCATATTATACCGAAAACTGCTACAAGTACATAATAAATCTACATAGAAGTGTACATAATAGTAACATGGAGTGGGGTTCATTTCATTTTTTATTTTTGGTCGGTCCCACTCGATGTGAGTGTTATGTACACCCCTATGTACAATAGTATGTACCTATAGCATTTTCTCATCTTAAAAATTGTTGCATTTTATTCCAAAGTGTTGCATATAAATATTATTAATATAAACATGACCCAAAAAATTATTAATTATTTAAAGTAGTTACATAAATGTGTTATATACACGTAAGGTGTTGCAGAAATATTAATCTAAAATATTACATATATGCGTTACATTAAGTTATTGCCTCTGTGTTTAATCTTGAAATTTTAGCTAGTTTGAATATACCCAAATTCTTTTATGAGTTAGCCTAATCAGCGGGTCAACTTATCATACTATTTAAATAATAATTTATACTTATACTATCAAATATTATACTTCTACTTAAGTTAATTTTTAAAGTATAACATTTTTTTATGAAAGTATGCACAATTATATTAGTACGTTTTAGGCTGATTTAACACAAGACGAACCCAGGCTTTCTTGGTTTAATGAATCTTGAATTTTTAGCAAGCTTGAATTTGAGGCTTCTTGGTTCTTATTCAATATATGCTAATAATATCGAGATTTTTCACAGAATATGGAGCCACTCTTGATATTATTAGCACTACATAAGCAAATTCGTGTATGATGTAAACCTATCATATATTGTAAATAAAAAAATAAAATTTTATAATCTTACTGTTTTTTTAGGTTAGGATATGTGTAAATAATAAATATCGATAAAGTATGCCAACCTACGAGCGCTGTATATAGAATATCATTGTCTAATCCAATGATGAAATCATTTGTGTATATGCACGCGTATCACAAACTTGTATTTATATAGTTGCTCCCAGAAGATTAAAAGTATTACACATGATTAACCTCGTGCACCACCATTATTTTTAAATTCAGATAGGCACACACATATATACATACTTCAATACCAACTCTGAAAACCTTAATAAATATTGTGTCTAAAAATCAAGTTCAAATTCTAAAGCAACAACTTGCAGCAATTCACAGTTCTTCTTAGTCAGGCTGAAGCATCAGCCTTGCAAATTGGCAGCTCATCCTCAACATTTGGTGGAATTCTAAGAATGGGATTCCTCTCAAAGAAATTCACCGGCTTCAGATCGAAACTCGACGACACAGTCGGCATGATCGGGAAATCTTCTTGACACGGAATGTGATGGAATCCCAAAGTGTACCACACGACGATATCCTTGTTCTCAATCTCTCGGTCCCTGCCAAAAAGAAAAAAGAAAAAAAAAATTACATATTCGAGTCGTTAGATGAATAAACAAGAATCGAGCAAGAACACGGAATCCCGTTACCTGTTAGACCATACTTCCAGAGTATCATCACCTTTGCTCTGGTACGTGAAAAGCCCGCCAGCCCATTGCTCGGTTTTATTATAAGGAGTGACCCAAATCTGGTTATTGGTAAAAGCCCCTCGTTTTTGTGGAGGATCGTCGGGGTCGAGCAGGCTAGCAGCTGTGCCAGCAGGGACTACTTTATACCCGACAGGGTTCCCGACTCGTGTTTTCTTCCTAGGGTTGATGACGTGAAATTCGGACGGTTCATAGAGTTTGAGTTTGATTTGCGCGTCCTTTTCAGTCTTGGCTACATTTCTTACAGCTTTTAAGTAGCTCATTCTAGGAGATTCCCCGGGTTTTGTGTACTCCCTCTGGAGGTTGACTTTGACAAACGAATTATCCGAGCCGTCTACATCCATGTCGAGATGGAATGTGATGTAATGGTCGTGAATAACACCGACTACATTTTCGGACAAGAGGGTCCCATATAGGTTTTCTTGTTGGTTGAGCTGGTCGAGGTTGGAATAGGGAGTTCCTTTCACCATCAGTATTCCACTTAGGCCAACCTTGTGAAAGGCAACAGGCAGTAACACAACACATATCAATTCGGATAACTATTCTTCGCCTTAAAATATTTAAAAATATCTAGAAAAACTTTGTAAGTTTGGCTAACAGAATATAATTACTATTTGATACTTCATTTGCTGCCCCTACTTTTAGAAAATCAAATCTCCCAATACTTTTCCAATACCATCAAATAGTTTCCACTCAATTGAAAGTGAACAGGGCAAAGTGATCAAGTGAAAGTATGAAATCTAAGGGCCACACCTATAAAGTAAATGAATCTTCTTTGGCTGCTTGTGACAAATGCAAGATGACAAAGTACAATGTCCTGCCTATAAAAATGACTGACAAGGAAAACCAAAAAAACAGTAGAATACAGATTGGCTTCAACTTACCTTGATTCTAATTAGTCCGTCCGTTTGAAACTCCCAATCCACGATGTAGTCGTAGTTGGCCACCGATGCTGCCATCCTAACCACAAGCGTCACTTTCGGTCTCACCTCTCGTATCTGCCGTTTATCATCCAAGCCAAAATTTAACAAACACAGCAAAAACACACTGATTAAAAACTCAACCAGCAAATATAATTAATGAAATCACATAACCACAGGGCAGGGCACAAAAGTCTGGCAAATACCTCCAATCCAGTGATCGGGCTTTCCGAGTGCCTCCACCCTATATCCCCAGCATAGCTCTCGAACACGCAGACCATGTCTGACCGAACGTACGGAGTCCCATCAGCCGCTGCAAAAACCCCGTCCATGTAGTAAGCGTTCCTCGGGCAGTCGTTGAGTGGGTCGAGCGGCATGGCCTGAAGCCCGAACCCGTATTCGCCAGCATCCATGTAAGTCTTGAAATACCACGCGTCAGTTGGGTCCATATACGGCACAAAAAGCTCAGAGGCGAGGCCCTTGTACATCACGTTCCTCTTCAGGCCGGTCTCTGGGTCGAGGACTGTGGCCCGGGAGATGACTACCCCAGCCCTTGGGTCGGGCTTGAGGTGGAATTCCCAGTTGGCCCATTTCACGGTGTGGCCATCCTCCACGGTGAAGCTTGGGCCTTTGGGCTGCTCAATGGATATGGGGTTGACCAGGCGCTGGTGGGAGTTTTGGGCTGTGAAACGGTAGTCGGTGTTGGCGGCTGCCGGTATTGGTATGTTTTTCCCTTTGTCAGTGATTTGCACTACCTGTTTCGTGTCCATATCGACGAGGACCGTTAGGCCTTCTATTGGTCTCATGTAGAAGTTGGCTGTGTCTTTCATGGTGTAGCATTGGACCTTGATTAGCCTTCTCTTTTCTTCAGTTTTGCCTAACAATTAGAACACACACATACAAACAAAATTACCTTGAGGAAGACAAGCTAGCGCACTCGATTATTAATTCAAATAACGGAAAACAATTTATTTAAAATTTTACAGTCTAAATTTCAACTGTTGATCTTACCAAACCATCCACTTGAAATGGGCAAGCAAGCAAGGTCCCCCAAATCCACGCCGCGTTCCACCACCGTGCGATTGAAATCGGCGCTAGCCAGCGGGGCCCACGTCACGGAGGTCATGTCCTCCATCGTCATAGTCGGGTAGCCGGACAAGGTTTTCTCTTCCCGGCGGTTTACTTCGCCAGAACCCAGGTCCACAGTCAGCAAGTACGACGCGCCGCCGGCGCGGGCCACGACGGCGGCCTTCCTCGGAGGTAGCGGGTCTCCATTCTCCCACGCCAGGACCACCTGCTTGTCCGGCTCCTCGAGGACCACCGAGTGGAGAGCGTGGGCTCTGTTCCCCAAGACGCCGTCTTTTCGTATGATTTCACGGACCCTGTTCAGCTCCGTCACGGTAAGGGGATCCAGGGGGTGGCGGGGCACGTCGGAGGAGTGGAGGCGCGTGGGATTGGCGGGTTTGCGGTGGCGGAAAGGGGTTTCGGAGTGGATGCGATTCTTGGAGGTGCGCCGGCCGGCGCGGTCCAGAGGGTCCGCCTTGTGGGACGGCGGAGAAGTGAGGTTGGAGACGGCGAGGAGTATGAGAACGGCTGTTAGGAAGATGAAGAGAAGATTTTTAGGCTCCATGTGGAAAAGTGGCTGTGGTGTGGACTGTGGACTGTAGCCAGTGGGTAAAAATGTAGTAGTGGCGAAGTATGAGACTCTGATATAATAAGGAGAGCTTGAGGAAAGATTATAAATATCATATATTCTTTTCCAGAGAAAATTTTGTCCTTATTAGTTTATGTAGCATATAATGGAGTTGCCTAGGCGAGTCAAATACCGTAAAGCCGTAAAGGGTTTGGTTTTGTTATCTTTATGGAAAGGATTTGATTAGATTTTTATCTTTATGAAAATGTATTTTGGTTATATCTTATATGATAGTTTCAACTCAAGTTGCTTTTGTATGATTTGTATGATCTTATCTTAGGCCCACTTTTATACATTTTTTTAATATATGTATATATATATATATATATATATATATATTAGTTACTAGTCACCTTGCTATTATACATGCACAGCCGATTCAAATTTAGTTTATAATCGACTTAAAATTTAGTGTCAGTTGAAATAATCAATTGAATTTATATTTTTTTAACTACTATCATTAAATTTTAGAAAAATGAATAAATTTAGATAAAAAAATGCAGGACATTTTTCTTGAATAAACGGTCTCAACAGGCTTAAAAATCTTAAACAATTTAAATGTGTAACAACAAAGTAGGTCATGCTAAAGAAGAACAACAAATTAACATCTATCCCAGATTGTCGAAGCACAAATCTAAATCAACAATTTTAACCTCTACATAATCCTGAGAAATTATTGATGACTTAGTTATTTTTGTTTGTTTGTATTGCATTTGAAATTAAGTCGAAGTCACCCCATGTGCTTATCACGTGGCAATTAGAGTTCCAACAAATTTCTTTTGGACGTTGTTAATTATAACTTATAAGTCGATTTTAGTTAATGGAATTGGTTGTTTGAAAGATTAGAGATCACACAATATTTTAAATATATAGTTTGAATGTATAACTAAAACATAAATTTCTGAAAGTGAGAAAACTCATCTCAAAATTCGACTAACAATTTTGTTAACTGAAATTTCTATTATGAGAATCAAGGATTAGAATCATTTATTTGTTTAGAACTCGTAGTTTGATAGCAACAATAAACAAGTCATTATTTTTGGATAAAACTACATCAATTAAAAAAAATTGTGTTGTAGTTATAATATTATTATCACATGCTCACAACAAGAATTGAAATTGAAAATTTCATTCCTAGCCCGAAATTCCAACAACATTGTGATACATTGTAACCATCGCGCTTTATAGAATCTGCATGTTCATGAGTGGTCGTTACTCTCAATTGTTGGAGTTTTAAGTTGGACATGGCATTATATAAAGCTCAAAAATTTAAGTAGGAGGTTTAAACTTAATGGGTAATGACTTTTACTGTATGTAAATGCCAATGAGGATTACGTATTATGTGCTTTTAGCTTATTATAGAATGTTTTTTTATCTTATAGAATATTTTATGCGTTCATATCTATGATAGGTAAAATTTTTTGGATATATACGAAGGTATTTTGATAATTTGTGACCAGATAAAATTTTTAGGTGAAGAGAGTTTAATAATATGTTGTGAACTTCTTGAGATAAAGCAAGATTTTTTTTTTAGTTCTAATTAATCGAATTAGTGATAATATTTAATACATAGACGGAATATTTATAAACTATGTTGTGTGTGTGCGTGTGTGTTTGCGTGCCAAATTTTTGAATCTTCAATAAGTTTGAAAGGACAATTAAAGTAAGCAGAAAACGATGAAGAAAACTGTAGGTAAACAAAATAAAAGAAAAGGAACCAAATATTATTATTCCTTAAATCAAAAAAGGAAAACCAGGGCCCTAAACCATATATAATTGAAATTCATAACATTCCTAATTAAATGAAGCCAACCAAACCTAACTTAAAATAAAAGGCATTGCTGCTAACGACTTCTTTATTCATAATTATTTTGCTATACTTAAAATAATAATAATCAGCGGCCTCTAACCCCTAAAACGCTCAAGCAGCGGGGGAAGCATTAATTAGTTTTGGCATTCTTCCCGGCCGTGAGCTGTGCACCTCCGGAGGGAGTAGGCGGCTGGGGGAACGGCCAGTGCGGCCAGCCGGCGGGAATGGGTGGGTGGGGCCACGGGAACCCTGGGCGGGGATGGAAGTAAGGGAAGGGGCGGGGATGGAAGTAAGGGAAGGGGCGGGGATGGAGGAAAGGGAAGGGGCGGGGATGGGGATGGATGCCCCAAAACCACTCGGGTTCTACAGCTTCGGGATTGACAGTGCTCTCGTAGCTGACCTCCTGCTCGAGGCTCACGGCGAGGGAAAGGAGGCACGACAAGCCTAGGAAGAGGAAGAACACAAGGGATGAGTACTTCGCCATATATGCCTATTCTAATTCTATGTAATTTGTTTTCCTAGTAATTATTTTGATGCCAATGCCAATGGGGGTTTATATAGGATTTGTAAGAGAGGAAATTTAAGAAACGTGAGCACCTATGTTTGATTTATTTGGGTATATCAAGATTCAAGAGTTTGATTTATTTGGGTACATCAAGATTCAAGAGTTTAGATTTATTTGGGTATATCAAGATGAGAGTTTAGTTTGGTTTTGAATTAATGTTGGAGATTCAGGTATGTTATTCGGTTGTNATTAATTAGTTTTGGCATCCTTCCCGGCCGTGACCTGTGCACCTCCGGAGGGAGTAGGCGGCTGGGGGAACGGCCAGTGCGGCCAGCCGGCAGGAATGGGTGGGTGGGGCCACGGGAACCCTGGGCGGGGATGGAAGTAAGGGAAGGGGCGGGGATGGAAGTAAGGGAAGGGGCGGGGATGGAGGAAAGGGAAGGGGCGGGGATGGGGATGGATGCCCCAAAACCACTCGGGTTCTACAGCTTCGGGATTGACAGTGCTCTCGTAGCTGACCTCCTGCTCGAGGCTCACGGCGAGGGAAAGGAGGCACGACAAGCCTAGGAAGAGGAAGAACACAAGGGATGAGTACTTCGCCATATATGCCTATTCTAATTCTATGTAATTTGTTTTCCTAGTAATTATTTTTATGCCAATGCCAATGCCACTGGGGGGTTTATATAGGATTTGTAAGAGAGGAATTTTAAGAAACGTGAGCACCTATGTTTGATTTATTTGGGTATATCAAGATTCAAGAGTTTGATTTATTTGGGTACATCAAGATTCAAGAGTTTGGTTTGGTTTGGAATTGTTGGAGATTCAGGTATGTTTGGACTCTTGATGCGAGGGTTTAGAAGCATTTTTATATTTTCAGCTTTTTATAATTTTGTGAGGAGTACTCGTTGGGTTATATATATTTTTTATTTTAATCTCAATATTAATATGTATTTTGTATAAAAAAAAGTATAGCCGATTAAATAGTCTAACAATAATTTCTGTGTGAGATAAATTAGCTGCAAACTGAAAATGACGAGCTCGGAGAGGACCTGGCTGCCTGGATTGGTTTTAATTTCTCAGATCCCAACACTACTTGAGTATTTATTACACACACACTCGGTTAAGCACATAAAATTATCGTTGAATGAATGAAATAGTACATATTTGCAGGCTTGTGAATTGTGATGTATTTTTTATTTAATTTAGCTTTGGCAGTACCCATGTGATGAGGTACTTTAATCTATCTTGGAACTATCGTAAATTATTGAATGGTTTCAGACAAAACGGAGATTAAAATATTCATTAGGCCAACTTGCGATTTTGGGACATGCATCACTTCATGTGAATTATCAACGCGGGTACAAATTCAGATTCAAATCTTAATTTACTGATACATTCATAAATTCATTCTCGTTTTGACATCAGAACGGAGATTCTTTATTTAGTCGTTCCAAATCATGCTGGTCTGTACAGGTTTTCTTAAATAAAGAGGTGATAAATTAGACAAAAACATTATACTGGTGACCACAATTTCATATTGCTACCTGGAGTATATTACAACTCAAACCATGGTGGAAAATTATCACATAAGATCCACGAAAAATACACAATGCTGTTAAATTTTAACTACTCAAAACTATAAATATAATGACGCGGACAGTCGAGTACGAGAGAAGCCTATCTTCACCCCTTCGTTTTTCAATTGAGAGAGAGCTCGGCAGCCTTTTTACATCGCATAAATCCATCCGAATGCTCATGTAAAGTTCTGAAATGTGTCGATGTAGTATCTCAAGCTGTAGCCGCAGCTTTGCAAACCGGTAGCTCGTTTTCCACATATGGCGCGACCCTCAGCACAGGATTTCTCTCAAAGAAATTGACCGGCTTCAGGTCGAAACCCGACGACAAAGTGGGCATGATAGGGAAATCTTCCTGGCAAGGAACGTGATGGAATCCCAACGTGTACCACAACACTATATCCTTGTTCTCAATTGGACGATCCCTGTATTAGAAAATCCCCTCACTTAAAAAAAAAAAAAAATACTTAATGTTTCGAAAGTGTATATGTTTTCAAGTTATTACCTGTCGGACCATACTTGAAGCGTGTCGTCACCATGACTTTGGTAGGCAAACAACCCGCCCGACCACTGCTCGGACTTATTGTAACGGGTGGCCCAGATTTGATTATTCGTAAACGCGCTTCTCTTCTGAGGAGTATCCTCCGGATCGAGCAAGCTGGCAGCCGTGCCAGCTGGCACAATCTTGTAACCGACGGGATTACCCACCTTGGTCTTCTTGTTGGGGTTGACCACGTGAAATTCAGACGGGTCGTACAGAGACAGCTTGATCTGTGCCTCTTTCTCGGTTTTCGCCACTTGCTTGTTGACCTTCATGTAGCTCTTCCTAGGGGAAGCGCCGTTTGTGTACTCTCTCTTGAGATGGACGTTCACAAACGAGTTGTCCTGGCCGTCGATGTCCATGTCGAGGTAGAAATTGATGTAGTGGTCGTGGACAACCCCAATTATGTTGTCCGACAAGAGGGTTCCATATAGGTCCTCGTTTTCCTTCACCTGGTTCATGTTCACGTACGAGGTTCCCTTCACGATTACTATGCCGGTGAGCGCGACCTGGAGAATGATTATAAAATATCCGATGAGTACTCGATTTAGCTCTTCTAAAGCAAAATTTTACTTTACTAGGTAATAGTTACAGCAGGATTCACAAACCTTAACATGGATTAGGCCATCAGCATGGAACTCCCAGTCGACAACATAGTCGTAGTTTGCAAGTGAAGCCACCATTCGCGCGACAAGTGTAATCTTCGGCCTCGCCTCTCGAATCTACCCAAACACAAACAGAAACTCTTGAGTGACAAAATCCAACAGCAAATCATATACAAAATCAACCGATTTTTATTTATTTTTTTACCATTTCTCCAGTAACTGGGCTCTCAGTGTGTCGCCATGCAGTATCACCCGCGTACCGCTCAAATATGCAAACCATGTTTTCTCTAACATACGGTGTGCCATCGGCAGCAGCAAATACGGCATCCATATACTTTGCATTTCTTGGGCAGTCATTAAGTGGGTCAAGGGCCAGAGCCTGAAGCCCGAACCCATATTCACCGGCATCCATGTAAGTCTTGAAGTACCATGCTTCCTCAGGGTCCATATACGGGACAAAAAGTTCAGATGCAAATCCTTGGTACATCACGCTCCTCAAAACCCCGGTCTCTGGGTCACGCATCTTGGCCTGAGAAATAACGACTCCTGCTCTTGGGTCGGGCTTCAGGTGGAACTCCCAGTTGGCCCACTTAACCAGGTGGTCATCCTCTATGACAAAGTTAGGCCCATTGGGCTGCTCCATGGATACAGGGTTAGGGAGCTTGACAACTGGCCCGTTCATGGCCGAGAGCCGGTAATCTGTGCCCGCGGCTTTAGGGATAGGGATATGTTTCCCAGTGTCGATAAGTTCGACAACTTCATGCGTGTCGAGGTCGGTAATGATAATGATGCCCTCTATAGGCCTCATGTAGAAGTTTGCAGTGCCCTCCACGAGAAAGCATTCTAATTTAACCAATCTTCTTCCATCCTCAGCCTTACCTGTTGATTAAATTACAAGAAAAATGAATGTAAGAAGAACTCTTTCTATTTTGGGGTATGTTTTTTTTCCAAAAATAAAAAACAGCCTATAACATAGACTACCAGAAGGTCTAGAACACTTCTGGAGATAATCTACACAACCAATTATGAAGCAGCCAAATTTATTGGATATAGAAAGTACACAAATAGTATCTGCTATTTATCCCTAGTCTTGGACCAGACCAACTATTAGACTATTTTGAACAATATACTTTGTATATTGTTCTACTTATCTTTTAAAGTGAAATCAATATAAGATTTTCTTATTTACGATACCACCCCAAATTATCTACTTATCTTCGTATAGTCTACCCAAAACATGTGGTTTATTGTGACATAGGCCCTCCACACAACCAACTTTGAATCGTCTCCTACTTCTGAGTTCTGGCACATTGATTAGGTTAGGTGTCCAATAGCATTTGTATCTTACTACATCGTACCAAATTGCATTTAATTTGGGACAGGTTTAATGTCCCTAATAATGTTCGAGAATTTTCCATTTAATAACAACATCCACAAAGCTTTGGTCTACTTAAAGAAAAAAATAGCCTCCGTCAATCCTTAATAAGTATATTGGAGACATAATTGGCTATTTCTACTTGAAGTTATCTGCGGTACACAAAATTGGACCCAAGTTGTGAATGCTCTAAAATTCACAAGCAAAGAAAATATTTTTGCCTTTGAGTTTATCTGATGTAGAGCTTCCAAGAGGTGAAAAAACAGAGGGCAAGGGTTGAAAACAGAGCATATCCCCCGCCAATTAAAAAAGAAACTAATCATCAGGAGAACCAAACAAAGCTTGAAAAAATCTACCCTTTGGGTGTCCCATATAGTCAAAATTTGGAGGCCACTTGAATTTTTTAAAATATATACACAGAACTTCCCCTCAACAATAAAAAAACAGAGACACCCATGCCCCAAAGAGAAAAATACAAAACACACCATAAATGTCTAAAAGATGTCAATAATTCGAGCAGACCAGGAAAAGATGTCATAGCAGAAAATAAAAATCTTAAACTTATTGATCCTAGATTTCAAAAGTAGGAGAAAGTCGTAAAGCGTCCAATTTATTTTTCAATTGAGTAGTCGAAGTAATGAGATTTTAAAGAGACTGTTAAAACAAAATACTATAAAATCTCACGCCAAACCTACATAAGAGTTGCAAGATTAAATCAGAAGGAAAAAAAAAAAATCTCGAATTTAAGAAATCAGAAAATGTGAAATCGTCATACTTACCAAACCAGCCAGGGGAGAAAGGCAAGCAAGTGACGACGCTCGGATCAAGCCCTCTCTCCAAAATCGTGCGGTTGAAAAGGGCGCTGGCGAGCGGCGCCGTAATCACGCTCTGCATATCCTCCAGCGTCACCAGCGGGAACCCCGAGATGTGGCTCGCGTCGTGCTCCACCACCTCCCCGCTCTCCACATCCACCGTCAGGATGTGGTTCTTACCGGCGGCGCGTGCGATAACGGACGCCGTCCTCGGCGAGGGCAGCGGCTTCCCCTTCTCCCACCCGACCACCGCCTCCTTGTCCGGCTCCTCCAGCACCAGCGAGTGCACCGTGTATGCCGATTTCGAGAAGAAGGACTTGATGACCTCGTGGACCTTTCCGATCTCCCGGACGGTGAGCGGGTCCAGGGGGTGGCGGGGGACGTCGGCGGCGTGGTCGTTGCGGAGGGTGGCGGCGGAAGGGCGGCGGAGGATGCGGTTCTTGGAGCCGCACCAGGCGGAATTGGGGCCGCACGGGAGGGGGTAGGATGAGGGACCGGGAAAGCTGAAGATGGTGAAGGAGATGAGAAGGGCGGCGGCTGCGGTGAAGAAGAGACATCGGAAGAAGATTTTTCCTTCCATTTTTTAATTTTTTTTTTACTATTCCTTTTTTTCTTCCCCTGTGTCAGTGTGTGTTGGGCGTGGTGCGGGTCTGAATGTATATATAGAAATAGTCGTTGGGTCAAAATGAAAATTGATCAATTGAGTAGGTGGGAACGATGTGTTTGGTCGTGGTATGGGAGAGGCTGCAATGTGACATTTTATAAATAATATTTGTAAGGTAGTTGTATTATTAATTTATTATCAGTACGATAAATTATTTGAAGGGGAAATTATTTGATGGGAATAGGATTATATGATAATGCTCGTCAAATATGAAATATATGTGTGATGCATGTTGAATGTTGGTGGACAGTGGCGGAGCCACATATAACTTCTCCTGGGCTTTAGCCTGGGTAAAATTTTGGTGTACTATATATATAGAGAATATATTTAAAAATAATTTTAATTATATATATATAATTAGAATTGAAATTGAACAATATTTATAATGTTAGTCTAACTAATTAAAAATATTTGGCATAATCACATCAAATAAATTATCGAACCATTTTAGATTTAAATAATCATATCAAAGATATCAATATTTGAGAGATTTTATCTTGATAAAATTAAATAATTCATTAAATTTGAGAAATAATTGTTCAACAAGTTAAATTTGTTCTTAATAAATGTTATTTTTTTCTCTTTTTAATTTTTATTTTTGTGATGTTATAATGAAGTGTCATTGACTTTTTTAAGTCAACTCCTAAATTTAAACTAAAAAATATATTTTAGTTAAACGAATATATTTAAAAAAAATCACAAAAACATTTAAAAAATAATATTTTTTATCCAAATTTTTATTTGATATCTGTTATAATTTTAGCCCAGGTAAGTTAAAAATCCTGGCTCCGCCAATGTGCTTGTTGATAACACTATTGTGCTTGTTTAACAATATTATTGTGTTTGTTATTATTATATGTTCGGTTTTGTATTGTACATAACTTCAAATTCTTTAACTCTTACCTGGTTAACAGTAAAATTTTCTAAATAAAAATACATACTTATACAATTTAAAAAACATATTTTTGTTTGTTCTATTTTTTAGAGCATGACATTTAAGTTTAGAAGTATTAATATTTATTGAAAAAAATTGAATATCTCATCCTTAGGGCTATCTAACATGTTTGGTAATCAGCGGTTAGCTGTTAGAGGATTGCATTAGCTGCTTTGACTAGCGGATTGCGTTAGCTGCTTTGACCAGCGAATTGCGTTAGCTGTTTTGACGAGCTGATTGTGTTAACGACTTGAAAAACAGTGTTTGGTAAAATTACCTTTTTTTTAATTATTTGTGAATGAATAATAATTACTTAGAAGAGTATAATTTAATATTTTATTTATCTAGGATAAAGTTATTTTTGTAATACATAAAAAGTTAAACAAAAAATTTGATAAATAAATGTACTTAAATTCTAAAATGACAAATTAGTTAATCAAACAATTTCTATTAAACGTAACTTATTTGCATTCCTAACAATTTAGTGTGATTTTTTTTTTTCATTCATGCCACTGCATCTTTATTATTTATATAATATAATTCTTTGAAACAATTAACCCACTAGTCACTACATAGAAAAAGCTAATCATCTTCCAAAACGATCCAAATTGGAACGTTTTCATTTTCAGCGTTTTCCTTCAATCCGCCAACCTTAAAAGCTATCTAACCAAACATAAATTTTAGCGATTTTAATTTAGTCAAACTTCTAAAATTGCTCAAAATGCTAAAAGCTGGCCAAAAAGCATTTACCAAACAAGGCATTGTCTTTGTTTGGCAATTAGCTGATAGCGGATAATTAATAGTCGATTGTATTAGCGAACAACAATTAGTATTAATTGATTTGATAAGCAAATTTAATTAACGATTTGTCAAATAAATATTTTGATAATAAAAAAATTACATTTGTTACGTTGTANCAGTGCTCTTTAATTTTGTGCTTTTTGAAAATTAATGATTGGGTAAAAAAACTAACCAAATAAGGTTAGGAATAAACTTATTAACATATTTGACTGGTAAAACTTAAAAATGATATTCATTAACTAATTTAGTATCAATCCACTAATAAACAAACGATTCATATCTAGTGTTGAATGTTTAAGTAAGTTGTCTTAAGTTCTTTCCTTTTAACAAATCTTTCCTTTTCTTTATTTGACAAACCAAAAGCATTCTCTTTAATAATCCATAACCATCCCTTTAATTATTATATTAGTATTTCAACTTTCAGTTTCATTAAACACATCTATTTATATTATAGACTTCTTTTTTTAAGTGTCCTATTGGCTATTGCTAATTAGAAAGCCATCACTGCTTTCCATTAATAATTTAAGAAAGAAAGATGAAAAATAGAATTGGATATAAGAGCATGCAGATGCTTTGGCTCGTGGGGAGTTGGTGGGTGGGGCAACTCATATGTAGCTAATTATTCTTGAGTGTTGACCATAAATGGCCTTAATGGTGAAAATTTTAACTAGTTAGAGTAATGAAATATTATCAATTTTATGTTGTATGATATGAGAAAAAGAAATTAAAAAATTGTGTATCTAATATTTAATGTTAATTATGGTATTATTTGTGATACTAAAATTGTAATCGATTGGAGAAAAAAAAGATAAAATTGAATAAATAATATGATATATATATATATATAAGTTGTTTAGAATGACTTATACATTTAAAAAAAACTATAGACATATTCTATGCCACATAGGATAATTTGTGTGATGTGGCAACAAAATATATCAATCTATACTTATATTAAAAGGTATACCATTTACCAGATTTAGTATAAAGAAAAGTCAACAACATTTATTACATTACTATTTCCGTATTATACAATCTATACTTATATAAAAGGAGATTCTATTTACTACATTTACTATCCAGAAAAGTCAACTGCATTAAATGCCATTACTATTTTGGTATTATAATATTTTATTTATTTAATTGATTTATTTATTTATTTTATTTTAAAAAGGTAAGTATAATAAAAAGATTTTAATAATAAAAAAATCAAATACCAAATAAAAATGTACACTTTGACTTATTTGATTATATTTGGTATTTGATTATACCAAATATATTCCTATTTAGTACATACATTTAATACTTACTAAAGTATTTATTTGTTTTATTTGTCAAATGTAAGTATAGATTTGTTTATATTATCAAATCATAAAAAAATATTAAATCCATATTGTAAAAAAAAAAATCATAATTTTATAACAATTCTACTACACTATTTAACAATATTTTTTTTATTATATAATAAAATAATAATTAAATATTATATGGTGAACAACAATAAGTAAAACTGTTACTTTCTCTTATATCAAGGGATAAATTTATATGCTAAAATTAAATTTTTATTAGTATAAATGTTTTAGTGAGATAATATATTAATTATTTTACAAGCTAGCCCTAACATGCTCATATTTAATGTTTTAAAAGATGTAGAAAAAAAACTTATAATAACTCTATTGTTTTTTAGACTTAAACGTTGATTAAAAGAGGTAAAAATTCCTAATTTTTTAGACTTAAACGTTGATTAACACCATAGATTGAGAGTTTATATTTAGTAAAATTCCTAATTGTAATAAAAAAATTAATTTTTGCTATATTTTAGAATATCTTTAAATTCATTATGAAAAAAAAAAAAAGAAAAAAAACTACAATGAAAAAAGCAAGTCAGCTATATATCGATTTGTTGTACTCCTCAAATCACATTCACAATTTGGCTACAAGGAAAGAAAACTCATTGATTAAAATATTATTTTGTCAGTAGTCTTAATATACAAGAGACTTTAAGACTCCACTTGAATATTATAAAACTTTTATTGAACATTATACAATTTTCTTGCGTATTATAAACTTTTATTGAATATTGCATCTTATAATATAATATTCTCCAAATAAATATATCTCGTGCTTCGCACGGGTCACGTACTATATATATTCCGTACATTTTTCTTTATTCATGTATATATATAATTATAAGCCTGGATAAATAGCCTTAAAATTGTGTACCACGTACATCGCACGGGCTCTGTACTAGTGGAATGAAAATGCCATTTGAGATGCTTGTATGAAGGAAGATAATATATGTTTATAAAAGAAAAATCTCAAACCAAATTAATTCATATTCAAAATCTATCTCAACATCACTATTCTCAATATTATCAATATAATTAAATAATAATAATTAATCTTTAAATAATAACAACCAATCATTTTTACACATTGTATCAATTTTAATTCACTATACCTCCACTCACATAATTTTAACTAACCATAATTTTATATCATCTTTCTTTTACTTTTATGTCAAACCAATTTTAATGATTTTATTTTAAATATTGTTTTAATATGAACTCAAAATTTCACTAACTAATTATACAACTTTTTCTAAATTAACCTTAGTAAACTATAAAAAAACTCACTTTGAATTAATTCAGTCAGATTATTTTTTTTACAAACACAACCTAAGGCATTCTAAATTTATCTAGGAGCTACAATCATTAAATTTGTAATAATCAGACAAAACTATTATAATCGTTTGGACATACTTTTCCTTTTATTTTCTCGTGGTCTGAGTCACATAATTTACAAACTTGTCAAAGAACATTCAAAAGTTATTTTATCTTCAATAGAAGTAGGATAATCCAAACATGAAATATATAGTATAGGTTTAAAATCGTGAAAAAATAGGATAAGATTATTATTAATATCTTTCATAAGTAACTCTGGCTTAAATATGTTTTCATTTACGTAATTAAAGAAATAATAATCTATACTTATATTAAAGGGAGTCCTATTTACCAAATTTAGAAGATAGAAAAGTCAACATCATTTATTGCCATTACTATTTTCATATTATACAGTCTTATTTAATATTTGTTTTTCTGTTACGATTTTTAAAAACATATATGGTTAAATTCTCTCATCATTAATTACTTTCCATTATTACAATTTATTTATTTATTATTTTCTTAGCAAAAACGGACCAACATTAATTGATTTCCTTAAAATGTGGAAGTTGTTGCTTTATTTTTGTACAGAAAATCGGGCTTCATAGAAATGTATTATAGAAATTTGTTCAATTACACAATGAATTTGCTATGATATAATTATTATTTTATGGGAACTTTTTTTTTTAACAGAAAAATATGGCATTTCAATAAGATTTTCGATTTTTTAAGACTGATTGTTATCATGCTATGAAATTGAACATTCCAATATACTTTAACAAAATATACACGTGGTGTATACATCAGTTAATAGAAATATACAATCCTCATATTTTTATATATATGT